AGGTGCGCGGGAGCGGGGCCGCAGCCACGTGGCGGGCAGGGGCCGGGAGACCTCCCAAAGGTTCTGGAGGGGGTTAATTACGAGGTCCTCACGGAGCGCGAGTGAGCCCAGGCGTCGGCGGAGGCCCAGCCTCTTTAGAGCGCTGTAGAGCGCACGCGGGGAGCCTTTCCTAATCTCAGGGTCCTCTGTAGCTCCCGCCCTAACGACCTTTAAGCGTGGCCGAGGTTAGGGCAGCTTCCGCCGATGTTCCTGGCTGGGACCAAGGATCCTTCCCGGAGGTACTGACTGCCGGACCTTGGAACCGGTGCGCCCTTCAAGGGGCGGAATGAGTGAAGTTTCGGGTGAACATTAATTAGCAGGGCCTCGCCCTCTGCACCCACAGTGGCATCCACTTTCCACGCCCCTCTTGTCTGAGCTGCCGGCAAAGTGGTGGCCGAGCGGTATCCACGTGAGGGACCCTACTGTTAGGCTTTTTTTTGGTGGGGGGGTTGTTGAGACAGGGCCTCACTACGTAGTTGAGACTGACCTGGAACTCACTGTGTAGTCCAGGCTGGTCTCGAATTCACAGCGATCCTCCTGTTCAGCCTCCAGAGCGCTGGGACTACAGGCGTGCACCACCACGCCCGGCTTTAGACTAACTTTCTGAGCTGAAGAGTAGTCATCCTTTGGAGAAGGTACTGGAGAAAAATTAGACGTATATTACGGAGAGTGAAAAGCAGCCTTTTTGCATCGGATGATGGAGTGTTAATGGACACCCTTGCCAGGGACCCGGGAGAAGCTGTGCTTGGCTGGGGACCTACCTGGGTGCAGGATAGGATAGCTCCTTGCCAGACTGATGCCTCCTGAATGAAGCACAGTAGGTCTTGCCCTAAAGGGAGTCAGATCACCTCTGTACTATTATTACCCTTGTAGGTTTTCCTAATTCTCTGACCGATTCTACGTCTTCTGCTTGGTGGCAGAGGGATTGTTTTGTGCTAAGGGATTTTGAAGTGTAAATGTTTTAGCCATCATTAGTCTAAAGTCTTTTAAACTGTGAAAATGATAATTTTGGAAATTTTTGTTCCAAGTCAGTTTCACACAACTTCTCCCCAAACCTAGCCAATCCCCAAAAGCTTGTCTGAAAGTGGGGTTGAGGTATTGGAGGGAGGATCAGGACCTTCCAGGTGAGATCTGTGGATGTATATTAGTGGTATAGTACCTGCCCAGAATGCTTGGGCCCTTGGGTTCAATGGGGTTGATGAGGGACTCCAAGTGAATTTCATTTTTGTTCTTTGCCTCTCCAGTACCACAATCTACTAGAGCCGTGTGGGCTTTTCTTCTTGTCAGTTCCTCCTTACTTTCGTGTGTGTATTTTAAATATCTTTACTGAAATATGTTGAAGAGCTACTATAAAGAAAAATGTTGGGATATAGCCCACATTGTGAATTTGTCCTCAAGTATCTCAGCTGACTGTACTCCCCTCCCCTTAGTATCATAGTGATAACTGCTGCTGGCTGCTTCCAGAAGACCACACTACACCATTGTTGTGGCCCTATTTTCATTGAAAGGCCTATTGAACTCTTGGTCTCATTTATGTGAGACCCTGCTGGGACAGCCTTGCCACTTGCTTGACTGTTGCAGGCGGTGAAACCTGTTGTGCTGGCCTCAGTGCCTTTGTGATGGAGATGGCCACTGCCCTTTCCCAAGTGGCCAGGCCTCTACACCATAATCTCTGCCACTATTCCTTTTCTATGCTTGTTTACTCATAAAATTCATAAAAGTACACACAGTAGTATTAAATATATTTAATGTATTTACACCATCCCCGCATTTATTATTAATATATTTTCACCATCATATTAACATTTCCTTTCAAGTAACTACGTCCAGCCTGCCTGACTGCTGATTCATTTTGGCCCTCACCTCTTCCAGAAGTGGCTTTAAAGTTCAAAGAATATTCAATGCCTCTGTCATGTCACTCACATGGAACATTTAAACCACTAACTGACAGATCTGGCATTCCCATTAACTCTGAAGCTCAGGGTAGAGGACTTGCTCTTACAAATCTTTTTTTTTTTTCCTATGGGATCTGGTGCAGGGTTGCCAGTGATTGGTGCTCAGATATGTGAGAGCCAGAGGAGATTTAAGAGATACTAAGAGTGTAGAGTTTCTGATCTGGTCTGAAAGGACCCTGTGGGTTTGAAAGACAGGCATCTTCCAAATCAGTAAAATAAGGATTTCAGTTCATGCTAGCGTTAAGACTTGAAATTGAATTTATTTTAGTTCTGAAGATTACAGATCTCCAGCTGTTTTTCCAAAGAGATGACTGGAGGCCATGCTTGAAGACCTTTGTGATTTAAGCCTGCTTATTGGTTGTTTTGTTTTGTTTTTTTAATTTCAAACTGGATGGTGACACTGGCCTATAATCCCAGATGAAACAGTAAGATTAGATGCTTGAGCTAACCTGGGCAATTTAGTGAGATTCTTTCTCAGAATTTTTTTTTTTTTTTTGGTACCAGGGATCGAACTCAGGTTCTTGCACTTTCGAGGCAGGCTCCGAAACCACTGGGCTAGATCCCCGGCCCTGTCTCATAATTTTTAAAAAAGGGATGAAGATGCAACTCTGTTAGTAGAATGCTTGCTTAATATGCACAAGGCTCTGGGTTCAATCTCTAGTACCACCAAGAAAAGAAAAACCAAAAAAGAAAAAAAAAACCTGTTAACATTCTTCTCCCCTTCATCAGAGCCTTTTTCAGGCAGTTTTGGCTCATTGGATTTTCCCTTCCTCCTAAGAAGATAGGAATAGGGCAGCAGTTCAGATACCTGCTAGTGTATTTTAGAGATGCTCATTCTGTATGACCTGATCTAAAATGAACAGTGGTGCTAGTACACTGTTGTTTTTCCCACTGTGCTGGGGATTGAACACAGGGCTTTATACCTGCTAGGTAAGTGTCCTACCAGTGATCTACATACAGGGGTTCTTTGTCTAATCTGGACATTTGGGTGATTATAGTAGACCTTGAGACCATAGATGGTCACTCAGCATAGATGCCTGTACTCACTCGGATTGGTACTGCTAGCCCTCCCATGGTCTAGGCCCAGTGATGGCAAACCTTTTAGAACTTTCAATGACAGAAACAGCCCACTGCAGCACATGTGCAATAGGTTTGCCACCACTGGTCTAGGCCAATACCATTCATTCATTAGGGATGTAGCCACAGGTGGGATTCTACATTTTTCTAGGTGCCACATTTCAAAAAGTGGGCATAGTGGTGCATAATTGTGTTCCTAGGTACTTGGGAAGCTTAGGCAGAAGGATTGCAAGTTTAAGACTAACTTGGGCAATAAAGCAAGATCCTGTCTCTAAAATCCAAGTTACAACAAAAAGTAATAAATTAATTTTAATAGGTTTAATCAACCTAATATATGTAAAATATTGTTTCAGAGTGTGATCACTATACAGGACATAATTACACACATCAGAATCATCATCTGAAGATAATCTCTGCCTTAGAGGGTTGTGGTAACTTTCTGAGTATAAGGTCCTTAGAATATCTGCCATATAGTAAACACAACTGTAAGCTACAGTATTGAACACTACTGAATGTGTTTATGGAGCTAAACACTAGTTCTACAAATTATTGATTTATACTGAATATAACTCAACTTGCCTATCTTAGGAAAACTTTAGTTTTTACTTAGAGATTATGGGAGTAATTTCAAAACAAATTTTTGGAGTGTTTTTGGCATAATTGAGATACACAAAGAAAAATTTCAAGGGAATCTTACTGGCAGTAAATTAAGTAAACTGTTCATGTCAGCTTTAAATAATTGTGCTATGTGATTTGTCCATAGACCTTGAGAAAAAATTTCTTCCCTGTCCATCTATACCATATCCCTGTGGCAAGCTTCTAGGTTAGCCATCAGTAACTCATGCTTGTTCTATGTGTGTAGAGCCATGAAACCCCCAGGAGGAGAATCTAGCAATGTTTTTGGAAGTTTGGGAGAAGCTGTTCCTTCAAATAGGCCTAATAGGATGGCGTCTAATATTTTTGGACCAACCGAAGAACCTCAGAACATACCCAAGAGGACAAATCCCCCAGGTATGGACCTTTGTAAGTCCTAGATCTGTTGACCTCTACCTACTCTTTTCTGTTGTTCTTTTGAAAATAAGTTTTATTTCTTTATATTAATCTTTCCAGATGTTTTCTTGTACAAGTTATCTCTTGCCTTTAGAGTTCTCTTAAAATGAAAGGAAAGCCTTGCTGTCACTTTCTCCACTGAAGGTGGCTCAAGCACTTTTGGGTTTTGGTTTTGGTTTTCTGTTTGTTTTATGGTACTGGTTATTGAACCCAGGGCCTTCACACTGAGATACACCCCTGGCCCCTTTCTAATTTTTTTTATTTTGAAACAGGGTCTTGCTAGGTTGCCTAGATTGGATTTGAACTTGTGATCTTCCTACCTCGGCCTCCCAGAGTGCTGGGATTATAGGTGTGCACCACTGTGCTTGGCCCAAGCACTCTTGATTGCTTGACAGGGTTGAGTGAAGTTGCTAAGGGTACCAATATGATTGTTGGGATTCTGGTTCCTGAACCTCTTGAGATTCCTTAAATTGCACGCAAATTATTGTACAAACATTTTTCTTAGAGATGGAGATATTATTAATCTGATTTCATACAAATGAAACTCTAGACAGAATTGGTCTAGTACACATCAGTACAGGTTTTCAGTACTTGGTCTATTGTCTCGTGGTTGCTGAGGGAAAGAATCTTTAAATGCCTTCTCTTTTATGATTCAGTGCCAGGGAGTCAGCCCTGCTAACCCTTTTGTATCAGTGATAGCTGAATAGTAGTACATGTGTGCAAGCTAGAATCAAATCTGAGGTACTTGCAAGTGTAGGAGTCAGCTCACTTAGCACTTGCTTATTAGAGTCATGTCTAGAGTTGTGTCTAGACCTGTTCCCATGATATGTTGGATTCCCTGGAAAGCACAGTGGTACCACTTTGCCCTTGTGCCCCCCTAGTGCTGTTTTGCAGTGGGGAGATGAGATGTCTTGATTCCCTTAACTAAATTTATTCTGTTTGTGGTTTGGGGGTTTGTTTTCCATCCTGCCAAGTACTGTCTGAAGCCTAAAAGGCACTCGCTATATCCATCACCAAACTGACTAGGACCTGCTGCCAACATTCTACTTAGGCCCTGACTGAGAAAAGATGCAAAGGCAAAGAATACAGATGACTTAATGTGTGACATCTTTGGACGTAATATTGATTACCATTCAGTGTCTCATTTCACCTCTGTTAGAGTCTACGTGATCTTTGCTGATTGCCTTTTCTAGAACTTCACTAATTGTTTTCTTGCCCAGCTGGCAATGATGATTCATATTTATGGCTTGTTTAGGATTTGCCAGGGACTGTGATAAGTGCTTCAAATGTGTTTCTTCACATGATCTTTCTTGACCACAACTCTAGGAGGCAGAAACTGAGACTTAGGGATGTTCGTTAGTGTTCTTGAACCCCATGGTTAGTTATTGGCAGAACTAGCCTTTGGATCTGGGTTTTCCTGTTGTCAGAGCTCATGCTTTGAATTTATCCCCTGAATACATTCGTTGGGATAAATTTCTCAAAATGGAATTGCTGGATCAATGTGTTTATGAATTTTGAAAACTGACAGTTACTTGCAGAAAGTCTCTTAGAAGAACTTGCCCACTATGTACCCATAATGTGTGTGCATATTTGTTTACACCAGTGTAGTGTTTATCTTGTGCAGTTTGGTTTCTAGAAGCATATATCTTGAATTTTATTGTAGTTATAGGAGAATTGGTCGTCATCTCTTCAAAACTGTTAGTTTTTCAAGGAAAATACTGAGTAATAGACATTTGGAGTGATTGCGTCTGTTTTCTGTTTTGTTTTACAACACTGGGGATAAAACCCAGGGACACTCTGCTACTGAGCTATATCCCCGACATTTATTTGTTTGTTTGTTTGTTTATTGGTACCAGGGATCAAACTTGGGTCCTTGCACTAGAACCACTGAGCTAAATCCCTGGCCCCCCAGCCCTTTATTTTTCATTTTGAAACCATCTTGCTGTATTGCCCAGGCTGGCCTAGAATCTGATCATGCCTCAGCCTCCTGAGTAGCTGGGTATACCTGGACATAAAGTTGCAAGTTTGTGATTTCCGGAAAATTGAGGAATATGATGACCTTGGGTGAGAGGGAAGGGACACATGGAGTTTCTGACAATAGGCACTGTTCTGTCTGCTCTGTCCAGTGCTGACTTGGGTTTACCTAAGTAGCTATTCATGGTAGTTATGTCTTGAGAATTATTCTGCATTCTATTTTATAATTTCAGTTTTTGTTTTTGTTTTTTTAATGTACAATGTCTTTGATCAAAATCTTCAAATTGTGGGATTTTTTCCATTTAAATAAAAAAAGTTACATGTATATTTTATTTTATTTATTTATTTATTTTTTGGTACCAGCGATTGAACTCAGGTCCTTGAACTTGCAAGGCAGGCCACCAAACCACTGAGCTAAATCTCCGGCCCTACATGTACATTTTTTAAAATATGTAAGCCTTGGGCTGGGGATTTAGCTCAGTGGTGGAGCTGCCTGCCTCATAAACGCATTGTCTCGATTTCTATCCCTCTTACCAAAAGTAAATTAAATATGTAAGCCTAGTTCATTGACATATACATATAATCTCAGCCACTTGGGAGTCTGAGATAGGAGGAATGAAAGTTCAAGGCTAGCCTGGGCAATTTAGGGCGACCTTATCTCAAACAATAAAAAAATGGGGTTGTAACTTGGTGGCGGTGCCCCTGGGTTTGATCCCCAGTACTTCCAAGAGGAAAAAAAAAATATGTACGCTTTTGAGGTCTACTAGGAACAACAGGGGTAAGGTCCCTCAAGTTGAGAAGGTAGGACACAAGAAAAGTGAAGTAACTTGTCTGAGGTCATACAGTTAATGAGTGAGCTCACTGTCCCTGGCGTTCTGGCCACAGATCACTAGTCATTAGCATCATGCTTTGCTGGCTTTCCATGCCAGGAGTGTCCAACATGAGAGATGTGGTTCCCTAGAAGGTCCATGGCTATGGTTAGGAAGGTTTATAGTCGCCTTGGTGTTACACAAAGGTACAGGCACATACATGTTTTCTTGCAGAGGGAATTGCACATGACCCTTAGTGTTTCATCCCTGTAAAAAGGTGGAGTCCCTCCACCTGCTTTATACTGCTCCAGTCCTTTTTGCAGCTATAGTTCATATCATATCCCTATAAGCTGAGGCTTTTCAGAAGGCTGCTCTATTTTAGGCCCTTCCCAGCAATTGGGACCTTAAGACCCTAGCAAGAGACCAGGCTCCAGCCACATGCTCATAGCATTCTGGCTGAGGTATAACAGCAGCATGGTTATCTAAAAAGCAACTGTTTTAAAATGTTAAAAAAAAAAGCCAGGAGTGTGGTTTAGTGTAAAGACCTTGGGTTCAATACCCAGTGTCACAATTTTCTTGGTTCTGGAGATTGAATCCAAGGCCTTCACACTGAGCTATATCCCTAGACCTCCACCCCCTTTTTTAAATTTTGTAATTTGAAATAAGGCCAGGTGACTTACATGTAGCCACATGGCTAGCTTGGGGGTACATATCTTTCCTCTTGTAGATGATAACTTGGCTCACCAACACTGTGATTTTGGTAACATCTCTTATGTTTAACATAGTGCTTTGTGATAGGTAGGTGTGTGATGTCTGCTAAATAAAGACAGGTCAGTAGATATCATACTGCACCCACCTTTCTGCCTAAATGTTCAACCTGGCATTCTTGTGTATGAAACTCCATCTGATGGACACATTTTCATCACAGCTTGTTAACTCAGCAGCAAGGATGTCACATGTCTGAATTGCTGACATGGTTAATTTT